ACTATGTTTTATTATTGACTTTGTACACTGCAGCTTTCGAATAGTTTTGCATCCATAATCTCTAACTCACCTCAATATACACTGTGAGCTTACTTGATCGTTTTTTACCGCAAGATCCAGCTTGGTCCATTTATTTACAGAAATATTTTTGTTCTGACTCATAAGCTTCAAATAAATCTGTCAAGCTGTCAATTACTAAGTGAGGAAAGCAACAGTGGCCCTGGACACAAGTTAACGCACGGGAGACCAGCGAACCATCGATGCGTGACGGCGCCGTGCCTTCCGCGCCACCTACTGATTAACTATGAAATACACACTGGAGTTACGACGGGAAAGTTGTTCAATAAGCACTTTTTGCTCCACTTGTGTCTGGCAATTCACTGTCCCATTATCAAAGGAATTCAAATTCCTTTTAGGCGTTTGTTGATCCAACTAGGAGATATAATTTAAAGTAGGTCAGTTAAGACGCCCACTTCAGTTAGCGACTCAATTGAAACAGTTTTGAATTAATAGGATTACTAGGAATGCTGAAATTAATAACTTTAGCCTGTTTGTTTGCGTAATATTTGTTGCAATGTTTTAAATGTAATTCATAGTCATTGATACTAATTCTAAAATCTGTAGTGGTTCCTTTATGTATGTGTGCGTCTTAGAGACGGGTATATCGAGCAATCTTCGTGACCACGCACACCCACGTATGACTTGCCCCGGCCGGTGATGTGAAGGGACCAGTTCTTATCCTGTGCCAAGTCGCAATAACAATAACACGACTCCGCTTAGTCCCTCGAACGACTGCATGAATATTGAGCGGCGATAAAACTTCGCCATTCATATACCCATGTCCGTATTTTGTTTTATTAATACCGTTATTATATTATTATAATACGCAGGAAACAGACATTACTGCTCTGAACAATTGGAGTTGAGCGTAATGCTACTAAGAAAAGCTCTTTTATTCCCGATATTAAGTGATAGATAAGAAATACCCAATTTAGTTATACAGTTATACTTGTGCTTCTCTACTTCTGAATATCACAAGGTTCTATTTTTTCATATTATGCCCTTTGAAATCACATTTCATCTTGCTCTTGTTTTGTTCATATACATATTCCCATTCTGTCAATCAACGTCTGCCAATAGCCTTACCTCCGTCTAATTTTACGTTGAGTTCATATTACTTCGGCTCTTTGTCAACAGTGGCATTGAAGTAAATCTCGGATATCTAATATGTAGGCCAAAAACAGCATTTAAGATCATGTTTAAAATACAATCTTAACTGTATTGATTTAAAGATCAAACAGCAATTCTTTCAATAATAAGTCTATTGATTTAGCAAATTCGTCGTTAGGGCTTCTTTTAAGCAAGGAGTGGCGGAAACAAAATTGCTTGAACAGTGTCATCTATCGTTGATCAATATGGAAGAGGTATGAAACAGTTTGTAATTCTTTTGACACTTAAGCCAAAAACTCCTATAACTTTCCCAAACTTACGATGTACGTAAATGATGGATCTAATGTGGGTATTCTTCCTTTGAGAGTAACTAGAGAGAGGCCATTTACTGGTTCCTGAAATAAATGTGAAATTGTTTAAAATGCTCATAATTTAAATCAACATGCAAAGTTGTTGCCATCTGTTCTAGAGTTCGTAACTTATTGCTCCTTTATTTATCCTAAAAAGAAATGAAAATGTTATTTGCTTAAAACATAAAACTGAAAATGTAATTTTGAATGAATAGATGTCATTTCATAGTTGTGTGAAAGGCAGTGTCATATTAGTTTACCCATTACGCAAACTCGTAGTGACAAGTGACCGCCGACCCAGATGACATCACTGCGTGTTGCGGGTATATTGTTTGACTCCACTGACCACCACACAGTTCTGTTACAGGCCACTAGTGCCGAAATCGTAAATGGTAATGGGATAAAATTATGGGAACAAAACTCTACCACCATTTATCAAACGTGATAAGACGAATAAAATCAACTAATGAAATACACAGAATACCGTACCTAGGTAATCTATTCTGTATTGTAGCAATATCTCGAGGAAACCACAATTGCAATGGGATGGTATTAATTAATAGCTCTCTACACCAATTTGGCGGAATAGTCAGCATAATGATCAGTATGATGCAATTGCTTTGAAATTCAATTGTGGGATTCGTGCGCTATTAGAATTTGCTTTAGTTAGGGTATTGTTGACAAACAAGTAACCATAAAAACCCATTTAAAATGGTCCAGTTATAATATGTAAGAAGTATAAATAACGCGGCGTCTTTATTAATTTAAGAGTCGGGCGTATCGTCGGTTTCCTTTTAACATCGTTGCGAATTCCTGGAACGAAACCTTTGAATGTAACTTTGTAAACCCTAATTAATAAAAATAAAATACTTAATTTTTTGCTAATCTTAACATATTTTCTGGGAACAAAATCATAAATGTCTTTTGAAGTAAGCGGCTTTCTTATATGTAGGTACTCGTATTTCCATGTCCAATGGCCGCCAATAGTAGTACTATTCCAATTGCATATTACATAAGAGTACAAATTATTCAGATTGGCGGTAATTAATTAGGTAGGTACCATCTTGTGTAATAACATAAAAAAAACTTCCCTCATATAATCTAAACTATTTTTAAGGAGCTATATCTATTTAAAATCAATAAGAGAGGGGTATAAAATTATGTCCATTAAGTTTAGTTATTGCTCTATTTTATTAGGGACCCATAGGACATCAAAGGACCCTCATAATATATCCCTATTCAATTTCTTTCTAATGGCCTGTTAAATTCATTTCGATAACGGTTGCCCGATCGCCCGGAATAATTAAAGCAATCTACTGAAATTAATTGTATCAATTAATTTATGGTTATTCTGCAACTGGAGTTGAAAATAAGCTGCAAATATTTTATATTTATAAAATATCCAGATGATCCGCTTTTATTTTGCAGATATCCAACGATGTACGGTAATTATAGTTTACGTCCGCTTGCAATATTATAAAATAAAACCTTTTAAATTAAAGTTGCATTTACCTTTATTCATTACATTTTATTGGTAAAGTTATACTTCATTAACTTGGACAGTTCCTTCCTAACATTCACTGTTGCCCAAGCATGGACTATTAATTATGTTCTTTAACTTTCAAGAAAGTGCAGTAATAGAGTACCTACAATATACCTTCTTGTTGCGTAAGCCATTATCATTTGGACTATCTTCACTAAAAAAACTCAAAAATTATTCAAACAAGTTGTGTGTTTAAGCACAGACTTATACTTACCTACATAGAAGATAAAAATTTGCAAGCACTCACATTGTTATTTGATGTTAATGGTGTTATTTTAAACCTCCCTTTGAATTATAATACCCTCTCCAAACGAATTCGGATAAGTAGCTGTCCCTAAACCCGGCTCCGATCAAAATATTTCCCGTACCTACTCTTTCAGCCCTTTTTCAATCAATACATACTTTTAAAACTGTATAATTATTATGCTTGAAAAACTGCTACTGAAACTAGAAAGCGTTTAACATAAATTTCACGAGACTGCCAACGAAAGTTTGCGAAAGTTTGCAAATGAATATGCGAAAAGCTTTTAAACGGTAGTTCGGGCGTAAGCGATAAGCGGGGTGATTCACCTTAAACAGTGAGTACGTGCATTATGTTAATCCAGATTCCCAGGCCATATCTGCTGCACTAAATGTATCTCAAGATCTATCTCTTTCTTACACGCCGCTTTTGCATAACATGCGAAAGAGAAGAGCGCTTTCGAATCGCGTCAAAAGTGAAAAGACTGCACTTGAATTCCGGCGGACGCACTCAAGATAAAACTGCTAAGCGAAACTAGTCTTCATCTGCATAAGGTGTTTCTGGTAAGGACTTTCTGGAACGCTTTTCCAAGTACTAGTTCCTTCCTTCAATTAAGGTCTAAAATTGTGTAAGGCCAATATTTGACCTCAGCCTTACCCAGAGTATGATATGAATGTACGGTTCGGAAACGATTTTATAGCTCTCTAGGGAAAGCAGAACTAATTAGTACGAATGTTATTATGTGTATGGCATAACAAGGTCTGGTACAATACAGCTATTTGTATTGTTGGTTATCCAATTATGTCATCATAATACCTTTTTTTATCGGGCTATTCTATTGTAAACAAGCGGTTGCCTGGAAAATGTTTCAGTTATCACTTATCACCAAAAAGCTCGTGAGTAAATCAAACGTTTCACAGTATCGAAATCTATAACACAATGGGAGATACGTCTAAACATGACGCAACAACTTTTATAATAGAAACGTACGTGACTAGAACAGTATTACAAACATTTATCCCGTGGCTGGCGAAGTGGGTCAGATAGTCAGAGCAAGGATAAAGTTACCACGGATGTGGGCTGAAGTCGACCGGTTCGAACAAACGTGGATAATCGAACAAACCTCGGAGTCGAACAAAGCTAGAAACGAGGGATAATGGAATTATGAGTGGTAATAATGAACGGCTTTGTTGAACGTTGGATTGTTCAAGTCTACGGTGACATCACTCGGCAGGCGCTTAGAGGGCGCTTTATAATAGGAATTTAGCATCAATAAATGATTGTACTACGCGTGTAATAACGATCATGAATGCGTCATTGTATCCTTCCTTATTATTATGCATCAATTAACAAAACAGGATACATTGTTAAAATCTTAGACAAGAGATTTACTTATTCGTTAAATACGCCCTTTTGTAACATAAGTACGTCACATGAAGTTCAGTTTTAATTTCGTGTCCGTGAACTGCTTTACATTTACCAATAAGAACAACAAATTACAAAAATAAAGCAATAAAAAGAAACTTAGAAAATGCTCTATTACCTATTTTTAATGTCAATAAATGTTAAAAGGTTTATTAATGTGGACCAATTAGTTCAGTCTTTTTTTAAAGGTTCATTAATAAAATCCTGATTACAACTTTGTCATAAAGAATTTTGTGTGATTCAAACTAACTTTGCTATCTCTCTGTTTCAGGTGGAAGTTCCTGCCGTCCTACGCGGCTTATTAATAAAACAAGTGAGTATCTATTTGTCATTTAAAAAATCAAACACGCGATTTTAGGCTTAATGATAGTTATAACATGTGTAAGTATTTAAAATTCATAATAAAATTAGGTACTTGACAAGGTACATGAATTACACCTAGTTTACGTTTAATTAAAGTATTGTTATTGAAAAACACTTTACTAGGAGCTATTTTTTTTTATCCTTTTGTATCCTAAACTGATTGTTAATTTATTTAAATCTTGCACATTCAACAATTCAAGGTGCAAAAGGCGAACATGTTGCTATATGGCAATCACCTCCAGTCAACCTGTAAGCCAAGCAGAACGTCATTAGAGTAGGCGATGCAAATATAGTTTATGGTCCGTTACCTAAAATTACCTAATAAATTAACATAAATTTTATACATAAATGTATACGCAAATATGTATAACTGTATTTTCAATGTTATAACATTAAGTAACATAGATGTAACGTAGATCTACGCCTTTTGATGTAAATAAATATAAAAGTACAGCAAATACATTAGATAATAAAGATAATTAAATAATTAACTTTCTATTGCGCAACTGTTTAACATAAAATTATTAAGCGTGCACTTAAACTTCGTACATTTCTAAGCAAAAATAGTAATAACTTTCTAAATGTGATCCGCTTTCATAACTACTGTCATGTTCACAGCAAATAAATGCTCATTAATTAACACAGCCGCCAAATTAACTCGAATTTATTAATATATTAATGAAAACCGTGTTATTTTCTAATTGGCCAGTTTTGTTTGTTTAAAAATCTTTTACAAGAGACGCGACGTTTCTGCTGATACAATTAAGAATCAATTGTACGAAAAAATGCAGGCAAATCTAAAGCTAAAATAGTTATAATAATAATACAGTCGTCGGTTTAGCTTCACTACCGCTCTATTACTGCTTTAAGGCAGTTGTTTTAATAGGTGTGATTTTGCCAGCAGAACTGGAAAACCATCAACGAAAAAAAGTGGGCAATTCAACGCCCAATACCAACTCGATATAGGAATATCAAAGCAATATCTGGCACTATGGCTGTATACACTCGGTACTCGACGCCGTATCCTACTCATTTGAAAAGCTGCCAACTTTTAATTTCCTACTCCATGTAAATGTAGGTATTCACGGTATTTTTTATTCAGACTCATTACGAGAAATGATTAAAGCTAAATTCCACATTGCAATGGATTATGAGAATGTTAATAAAGTGATAAACAAATTGCAAAAGATTGTTACACAAAACTCTTTTTTTTAGTAAAACTAAAGTTCTCAATTAATACCATCCCCATCTGCATGCCAATTTTACTAGTACATATTTATGAGTTATTAGTATTAGGTGAGATTGAAAAATCAATAAATTATGTCGACTCTAGGTTCCTACTTACTGCAAAATTGCTCCAAACAGAACTACAAGTAAGATGTCATTGTGTTGAATTTGATGTGCCGTAAGTTGTATAAAATATTCAAATATTTCAACTCCTACGTGATATCAAAAAAATCTGCAGACCTTAATTCCGAAATAATGATGTTTATTCCAAGCAAAAGAGAGAAGGAAGGCATAAAGCTAATTATAATTATGGTACAGCAGTCAAGTTGTCATAACTTTTTGCTTTATTAAATGAGAAAAAAAATATTTTAGCGAAATGCCCGAGCCATATCCAGAAATAGAAATTACGAGTAATTTTCTATAAATAAATACCTATTAACAGAGAAGAGATAATAATTCTGAATAAAGTGACACACGCAGAGCAGTGTAAGTACATAAATGTTTTTCGGTAGATGTTTTCCATTGTCCAATATCTATTAAGTAAGAATCGCTAAACGCTGTTCAGAATGCGTAGAAAATGCTCGTGTTCTTATGTTTAATTCAAGATTTCAGCCTAGCTCCTTAAAGATTCAAAGTATTCATTCAGCGGTCCACAATGGTATTGCACACGGCACGATTTCATTTAACACCATCCTTCTAACTGTCGGACTCAATACATTTTAATACCATTATGTAGGACTAATCTCCGACGATCTCGTACATTGTTCACGCAAAGCACAGACTATTATAACCCATCTTCTTAGAACCACTAAACGCAATCTGCAGTCTGCACAGAGTTTACCGACCCGTCTAGACAGACTGAGGCAGGACTTATAATAATAAATACATATATTATATGTTACATTTATGAGGGATTGTACTTCCGTTCTTGTTAGCAAATTCCCCGAAGATGTGACTCATTTTCTGCCCCTGAGATTAATGGTATCGCACTTAGCGAGCTACTTCCTTTTGGCGGAACATCTGATAAATAATACATATTTATTGGTCTTATTGCAATATATGGAATTTCAATGAAACAAATGATTAGCAACGTCATAATATTAACTATGCGTTAACTTTGGACACCGCAGCGTAACCTACTATAGTTTAATCTACAAGGTACTGCGTAGGTCGTGAATCCATAGCTAGCATAACACCTTCCGTTCTCATTTACTTGGTTCGTTCTAGTTTCAAACTAACCTAACGTGTCTGACTGAAAGTGAAAAGTTAGGGATCAAGCAGTGTAGCGGTGATTAAGAAGCCATTAAGGTTTGAAGTTTCAAATACCCCTTACTTATCAATCAACACTAGACGTACATCCATCAGCGAAGATATTTAACGCCACTAAGACAAAGCGAACTTAGAAAGCTAAAGGCAATTTTCATAGACTAGCTAAAATTCACCTTGTTCCCGTTGAAACATAACCAAAATTTGAAGTGCTACAGCAAGCTCAATTTGCGGCAATTATCACCAGAGTTGGCAACCCCTCAACATTCGTTAACAATAATCGTTTCAAACGCAGACAGATAAATTGCAGGCCCCGAAATGCGTCGGGACTCGGGAGGTGTGTCGCGCCGCGCGTAGATATATCACGGTCGATGTATCGATACAATATCGTGAGTGGTTGTGCCACAATCGATGAGCGAAGATTCGCTTTTCAACGTGAACGCTGGGAGTGCTGTTAAAAGCGAATGAGAGAAGTCAAAGAAAATAAAAGGACTCTGCAGAGATGCTCTAGCTATAGGACCTCTTTCACCGGAGTTGGATTTTTTGTCGAGCGGAAATTTTTCTTTGGTACTTACTAGATGAAAATATCCTTAATTTTTTACTGTAAAATTTATAAATAAATACACACTTAAATAGGTACACTGTTCTTTGAAAACTATTACCTTGACTCTACCTACATGATATCATATTATTACGTGGAAAATGCTAATTTCGTATTTGTATTGTTATTGAACATAAAAATGACATTCGTAAAACCAGAAAATATCGTAATACAAAACACGATTCTGACAAAGAAATCCGCAGCAATAAAACTGCTACAGACCCTAATAACAGCGTCCCGATACTAATCCGTACTTTATTAAACACCACGCCACTTATGGGACGTACAGCTGTCATATCTCTAAATACATATTTGGACCTTATCTAAAAGACATAGGTCTCATATTCTAACACCAATACTGTCACCTGGCGTTTTAACCCCTTATAGGTCACACAGTACAAATCGGGTTAGCGACATTCATTAATAGCGTAAGTCACACCACGGAGCAATGAATTAACAAATTATTACCTATGTAAGGTAAGTAATGTACGCTAATGGCCAGGAAATTGCACCAATTAACATTTACATAGCAAGCTTTATCGGCCCTTGTATCGTAACTTGTCAAAGGCATAGAAAGAAATAACCTTTTGAAAGAAACTAAACCTTTAGTATAGTTTTTAATAAATTTCTAGGTCACCTAAACTACGATTTCGATTAACTTAAATCTTCGACGATATCTATTGATCGTTGTCTTTAGATTAAATGTCAATTTACTATCTATAATTAAAACTGGACTGGTAGCTACTATGGTTGCTTTATATTGAGACAAAGATTACTTTTTCAAGGAGAAAAAACCGTGTCAAGGGTTTGTCCGCGCGTTCTCGCATGATTAAAAAGCTTGAAGCCATTTCTTTTCTCATCTTGTTTAATAGTACCTACTATATTCTAATTAACCTCGATAAAAGAGTAATTAAACCCAATAGTACTAGTTGTTTTAACATAGTTTATTACAGCACTCCCATTTTTTTATTGACCAGCTGTTCTATTTCAATAGTCCTAGTATCTATCATTGCGAACAGTTTGCCTGAATTTGTCACTCTAAATGCGGTCTGCGGTCAGGTCAAATGAACGCAGCCCGCACCTGCCAGTTTGTGTTCTTTGCTCGTGCCTTCACTGTCAGATTCTATCAATACAAAATGTATAGAGAGTATAGAGACCGACAATACATCATGCGGGCTGCGTTCACTTTGACCTAACCGCATCCAGTGCAGCAGTGTGGCAAATCCTAAAACAAAGTTTGTAGTAGCACTCTCATGCCTTGAGCCATCACAAACGTTTATTCAAATACGCCATGCTTTACAGTGCACATGGTGGCAATGACCGACCAAAATTCTCTCTCTTGCCATTCCTCCAATTTGTGTACGCGAATATGGAGAAAAAGAACATGCGCCGCTGACTTTATTGCGACACATAAATTCCCGGTTTGCATTGAATTAAAAAATGTTTCGTTTTACGTTTTGCTGTAGCCAGAAATATGGATCCGCTCGGTTCAAGATGGTTAAGACAATAATTTGACTGTGTAGACTGCAGATGTTAAGATTTAGTTAAATTATGCTACCTACTAAATTAATAACAGTGCATGGATAATGATCGACTCGCAATAAGATTTTTAAATTAAAAGAAGACGTGTATGGATGGTTTTTGACCTAGTCAAAATAAGCTACTAAATCTGAGACCATAATGATGTGATGACTGATGAGGATCGGCTAACTACAAGATTGTTATAAGAATTTCATTATTGTTAGGATGACCTTTGACCGTGTTTGACCTAGTCAAACTAAGCTACTAAATCGGAGTGCATGTTGGTGATGACGATGAGGGTCGGCTCCCTTGAAAATTGTTAACAGGGCCTCAAC